TAGTAACAAGTGCCTTACTAGTAGTAACAAGAACGCTACTAGGAACAAGTGCCACGCTAGTAGTAACAAGTGCCTTACTAGTAGTAACAAGAAGCTACTAGTTTGCTGCTTTCCAACTGAGTTTCGGGCTTTGAACCGGATTGTTGGGACCCCACCTTGAGAGCTACTAGACTATCAGCACTCTTTGCTCGTTTTTAGAGAAGACACAGATTGACTGATGCAAATCACTCTAAGGCTTCTTTCCTTTTCTTTTTTGTCCATGTGGACCTTTTTCTCTTTCAAACCTGACAGAAGTGGTCGACCAGGTTGGTCCAGGTTGTGCCACTCAAATCGCTGAAACTGTGCAGGACAGCAGCGGAGACCGGGCGGGTGCTGAGTGCAGCATCACTGGTTGGGGCACACCCTCCTCGTCTGGACCCACGCCTGACACCTTGCAGGAAGCGCCAGTGACGCTTTTGATGCCAGGCTGAATGCGGCTTGCAGCTTGCAACGGCTCCGTTTTTGGTCAAATTAAGGCCACGTGGTGTTCTACTTGAAAGCTAGGACCCCTCTTTTGATCCCCAAACCTTGCTAGACATGGTGACAGGACATAATCTGATGCTCGTCCCCAATTCCACCCTGCGATCATGCCGGCAAGTGCCGCGTTGGGTCACGTGATTCCTCAAGCGGATTCCGCTGCGATTCACCATGATCGGTGCGAAGAAGGGAAGAAAGGTGGCCTCCCACACTCAGTGCACCCTCAACCACTCCCTGATGATGCGCCTGCCACACCCAATGTCAAATTTGGTACAACCCCTAGATTCTGATGAAACAGGCCAGTACTATTGCCGGAGTGAACATCAAACAACTTTCAGTCCTTGCTGGCCTGGCAATATCTGCATGCCAGTGAGTGAGAACACACTGATTCCACCTAAAATCAGTGGAAAGACCGATGGAGACCTCAACATCAAGGGTTTGGGCTCGCTTGATCTTCTCTGCCCAAAGCCTCCCAAAGCAGCCGCCCAACCTCACCAATCTTGCTACAATTCTTCAGGAGTTCATTCGTTTGGATTGCTGAGTCCAAGATTTTCATGAGAACGAATCTGAGGTGATCTGATGCCGCTCCTAATTTCAGAATGTCTTCAAGTCCCCTATCTTTAGATACGAACCGTATGCCCTCGGCGCTCTGAGGAACAAGAGCAGCTGCGTGAACGCCTATGCCAAGGAAAATGACACTGTGACGGACAACATGCTTTGCGCCAGTGGGCACACACCGGGCGGCATCACCGACAGTTGCCAGGGTGATAGTGGAGGACCACCGTTGGGGCAGTCGTGTTTTTTGGGTTCGTGTCTCAGTGTGTTCTCGCCTTTTAGTATTTTAAGCAAGGACATATGCGACCTGGTGAAAAAGATGTTTGATGTCGAAGGACGTGGGGTTGTCATCTAACTTTGGAATTCGTTCATGCCAAACGGTTGAAGTGCCTTCATTTGAAAAGACATCCAGGAGTGCCATGCATTGACGTTCTTTTTTTCTCTTCCAAAAGATGGCCATGCTTCTGGTGTGGCTAGGAGCAAGGACGCTACTAGGGGATCTAGGGGCTACTGGCATAGCTACTAGGAGCGATCGGACGCTACGAATGGGGCTAGGTCCATCTCTGTCCTCCCCTCCATCCTCTCGTCTCACCGGGCGCCCTGTGGGCTGTGGCACGTCCAGGACCATTGATTTGTCAGGAGGATGGACGCTTCGTGGTTCGTGGGGTGACCTCCTGGGGCGAGGGCTGTGGCGTTGAGGGATTCCCAGGCGCGCGGAGCGCACGAGCAGCGAGCGGAGCTCGTCGTTGACGTGTCCACGTTTGGAGTGTTTCACGATTGTTGGGGTACTTGTAGAGCTTCGCACACCGATGGTGGGTGTCTTGAACATTCTTGAACAGTGACACAAAAACCTGGCATTTGATATACCTCACAGATCCTTTGTAGAAATTGCATGTTGGACGTGTCTTTGTTGAAACAGAGGTCCTTCCAGGGCCTTGGGTCAGACAAGACGTCGTTTCGAATGGATCTGGTTAAGTGCTGCCTTTCGACGACGATGCGGTTTTGCTTTCAATGTCACAGTTATCGTCGGAAGCACGAGCTAAACCAGTCGTGAATTTGATTTCAAGATATTTTTCGCTCACCGGTCACCTGCAGGGGTCTATGCCCGAGTGTCGACGGCATTGTCATGGATTCGGGATGTCATGGACGGCAAGGTGAAGCAATCCGACTTTGACACCGACTCCGATGTGGACTTTGGAGATGCTATGTGGGCTGTGGTAGCTGGAGACTGTGTCATGGATGCTGGGATTAAAGCTTCTTGTTACTACTAGTAAGGCACCTGTTACTACTAGCGTGGCACTTGTTACTAGTAGCTTCTTGTTACTACTAGTAAGGCACCAGTTGTGAGCCTTTTTGGTGAGAACATGTCAGGACTGGAACCTGTGGTTTTTTAGCAAGAACTTGTCGGAACGTTCAAACGCTTTCACACTGTGGTCTTCAAACGTCCCACAACAGTCCCTTGATATTCCATGGAGTGATTTGATTGAGCAAAAAACAGTGCTTGAGTTGCTCCGATCAGTTGCCGAGGATGCGCAGAAATGCATTTCATCTCCACACTTCCCCCCAGAACTACACCTCCGCAGACTATTGTCGCATCGCAGTGAACCATACGGCGGCACTGCCCATCGAGGTGGAAGGTTTTGAGACAGAGTCCAACTATGATACCCTCACCGTGAATTGTGAGGCCTTCTCAGGAGAAGATGCAACAACCAAGAATGACCTGAGTGCTGCGTAGATTGTTTGAACCATTGCTTAAGAAATCCTTGTACAGGCTTAGGATAGTTGATGCCTCCCTAGCTCATTAGTGGTGATAGTGATGCGATGCACACATGATTCTGAATGGTTTTTGGTTTTTTAAATGGAATAGGTTGGAGGACCTATTAGGTTGGAGGTCATCGCTATTAGACGCTATTAAGTTATTAGATTAGGGGCCATCGCTATCAGGTTGGAGGCCATCGCTATTAGGTTGGAGGCCATCGCTGTCAGGTTGGAGGCCATCGCTATTAGGTTGGAGGCCATCGCTATTAGGTTGGAGGCCATCACTATCAGGTTGGAGGCCATCGCTTTTAGGTTGGAGGCCATCGCTATCAGGTTGGAGGCCATTGCTATTAGGTTGGAGGCCATCGCTATTAGGTTGGAGGCCATCCCTATTAGGTTGGAGGCCATCGCTATCAGGTTGGAGGCCATTGCCATT